AGACTAATAGAAAACCGAATTTAATGTTTATATCAAATATAAAATCGGAGTATATCGCTATAACTATATTTATTAAATAAAAGAGATAGTTAGTCCAAGTACTAAAAAATCTATCAAAAGCTTAGTACATTAGAATAAACAACGAAACCATCTAGATGCTAGGAGATAATCAAGGAGTATTAGTACTGACCAAGAATCTACATCTGTATGAGAGATTTAAATATATTGATATATATTACCATTTTAGTAGAGACTTAACGGAAAAAGGAAAAGTCTTTGCTAACTATATTAATATTATTGATATATTAGCTAATGGGATAATAAAGCTATATGAAAAAATAGTGTTTGAGAGGTTCTAGAAAATGTTGGGATTGGAAATGTGAGAAGAAGTAATATAAATAGAATATAAAAGAGAATAATCTTAATGGGAAAGTGTTGGAAGTTGAGGTTATATATTATATATCCTACCTTACCATATCTTACTATACCTTACTATACCTTATCCTGTCTTACTTTATTTTAGTTTGGATGGATACCTTAGGCATTTATCTATTATATAGTTGGGGTCGCTTAATGTATCTCCTTTTTCTCTTACATTGTATAATATACCTTTCTCTAGATCATCAATAATACTGCTACTTCCACCACGCTATAGGGCATCACTTTCTAATATATTATATAGATTTTATTCCTCGAGAAACTGGACCCGAGGTCATCTGCCGAAAGAGAACCAAAGTGTTCAACAACACCGTATATGTCCAATTGTGGGCAAGAATAATAGCATGGTATTATCCTGGCGGTACTCTACATTTGGATATAGGCAGAATTGTTGATGATCACTGTCAGATCTGCCGCAGAGGCGGCATGGTGCCATCTACCGGTAAATGGGTAAGAAAAGGACGACAAAAGAGGCTAACAACTCCGCAGGCCAGTCATACTTACGCAGCAAGAAGTTCTATCGTCAAGCTTTGAGGTACTAGATTCGTCGACTGTGTCTCCTCATGTTACAATGTAGGTGGGCCACTTCCGAGCAAAACTTTAGATGAGGCTAACAGTTTCCACTGGAGCAGATAACCATTCGTACATCGAATTCGACCCATAATTCATCTTAGAATGATACATCATTCGCGGTGTATCTTCGACCATGTGCCTATGCTTGTACGAGCTGTCTCCCGATTCAAATGTGAATTATATTCAGGGGTGTATTATGATTGAAAGGCGAAGGATATACTACAAGCGGTTTGTAATCTCAGGCTTTTTCCAGATCGTTTGATTACTTGTCTAACAGTTAGCAGACACTCGACTCTAGTGTTAGAACTCTGATGTTGTGAAGATGCTTCATGAATCTTCACGAATCATTTGGATTATAGCATGAGTAAGGCTGGTTAATGACCCTTCTTTATGGCTTGGTGTGGTACTGGTGTTCAAGTTACAGCTCGATTATTGTCAATTGCAGGTTCTTCTCTTATGGATCTGCCTTTCATCCTATTCGTGAGTGTGAGTGAGAGTCACCATATGCTTTGACTGTGCTTGAGACACTACTGCTTACTTTGGTATTGAGATGTGATTTCTGTGTGCATATCCGTTGCTTGATGTGAGCGATGCAATACCTATCAATGGTTGTATTCGTATGAAGGATTATGCTATATTTTATGTAAAGTCAGAAGAAGACTTCTGGTTTCTTGATGAAAGACGTGATGGTGGTTTTGAAAGATTCATGAATGTCATTGGCCTTCTGCGTATCAAAATACGAGATGTGCTTTACCTAGCTAGGCAGCTTGGGAAGGCGAAGTCTGAGGTGAGTATTCAACACAGGCGGTTCTAAGGACTCAAATACTGATATTCTTGACAGATCGCTACGAAAGACAATCAATGATCTACCACACCACAACTACGCGTTCTCGATACCTTCCAATGGAGGAAGAGATTTCATTTCCCAAAGCTTATGGGAACTGATGTCTTTATTACAGCCAATTCGGAAGGACTTAACGAGCATTCAAACAATCCTATACCATCGCCGTCATCGATATGGTCTACCCCATTCGTCGATATGTCCCATCGATTATAACTCATGCACATTTGTCGACGTTGAGAGACTCAACATTGCACGACTGTTCAACGCATAATTACCGAACCTTGTCCGCGATGATTTCTGGAATGGTCTGCTGCGGTATGATCTCTTCCACTTCGAGAATTACTTGAGACAAAAGGTTCAGAAAGTTAGGCACAATGATGCTTACCCTCGGGAAAGAATGTTGAAGGGTGGAGAAGCCCACAATAACAAACCCACCCGGCATATCCAGTGCCTCCTCATGATCAACGCGATACCGGTATTCGATATTACCTACATTGCATCCTTCATGATAGTTCGTTCAAGGGTCATAATCGCAACCTTAAGGTAAGTCCTCCTTCATACTCATCTAACTCGACCTTAGCTTATCATATCCACAGGTTCTTCCTCGGCACACGCTAAACTAGCTATGATTTTGAGGTACCACAATCTGGCGTGAAGTCAGAGCCAAAGGCAGCAGTTAAAAATAAGACAGCAAGGCTGAGGAGGCTGTAAGCCTGCAAACGTAAATGGTGGATCTAAGAAAAGAAAGCTCGTCAAATTCGAGAATGTGTGCTGATCTGGTGCAGATCTATGTGGAAAGATGAGGGTGTTGGAGGTGCTTTGTCTTTTATGTATGAGTATTCTAGCAATAATGAAATGCGATTTCCTGTAGCCGCTTCGGCGTGCGCTTTTTCGTGAACTTGTGGTAATTGCTGATTCGAATTGAGTTGCTCAGTTTCAGCAACAGATACGAATATCCAGTGTCCTTCGTTTTCCGATGACGACCTGACAGTTTCGGAATATTCAACATGAAAAGTTTCTCGGGTCGTTCAAGTAAGTGCGCTAGTCTTGGAGGGTTTGAGATATTCTGACGCCGTAATAGCTCCTCTCCAATCCTTATCTCTCAAAGTCATTCCTCCGCACATCACTTTGGATCGTCTCGAGACCCCGCTAAATATGAGTCTCATCAATCATCTTTGCCTAAAGGAGCAGCGAGAAGAAAAGTTCTGGATTACTCCTATGGTCGAAACCGAAATCTAGCATAGATTTGCGTACGATACTTTGAAGGGAAATTTAGGCACTCGATTTTCCGATTCCGAAGGCCAGAAAGCGAAATCGTTAAAGCAAAAAGTCTCCCTCTCCAACAGCGCAGGCTCCTTGGCTTATATACCACGCCACATCATCTCAGTCATTATTCATCCACTCATTATCGCATGCAAAACGAGAATTCTTCATCTCGCTTTACCCCGAAATGAGATCCCGGGACAGAAAGCCACGCTTCATCGACATCACGGAGCCTCGAACTCATAATCATTATCCACAGCATAGTTTCGAACTACCTGTACTACAGTTGTAACTGTACGCAAGATTATGTTGTTTACCGTGCAGCACAAAATAATTGATACGCAACTTCTCATGTTAGCTCAGCTGAAATAAGCACCTTCATCCTCGGAATATCCAGTAGGAATATCAGACTTTCCGGTTTTCGGTATGGCCCAATTTGAAGAATTGACAGATACGATCAGAGGTGATGATCTTAAGATTGTCGTCAAGTTACCAGATGGTGAGGTGGACAGAAGGTTCGTGGACTTCTCGACTCCGAGAAGATGACTAGTAAGTGGTACTCACTCAGGAAATTCCGAAACATTACTAACGTATCTTACTTCCAGACGCCATTGTTCTCACTACCAGAGCTGACTTATTTGGTTCCTCATTCGCTTCAAGCAGCTCATCGACTGGAAACATCAATGGAGAAACTTTCGACAATCGTTCAGGACCGCAAACTTTCCAAGATACCTAGATTGAAGATGAAGTAGTCCTAAGCATGACAGTAAACTGCTAGAGTGTGGGCTATAGCATCATCGTCAGCTATGACTACACTTGACACAAGCTTCTTGACCTTCGTCTCGCATAGACTGTTGAAGAAGCACCGCAGGTATGGTGGCGACCCGGTTTGTCGCCCAGTATGCCTTTCTGGACGCTTGACAACATTTAGAACTTATCCTAGTTCCATCTGATTGTACAACTCTTCGAATCACTGGCTTACCACAAGATACCACCCTTAAGCTGGTTGGGAATATCCATCTACCCCTCTCTGAAACAGAGAGAGCCCAAACTACCGCAAGCACTCTTCCGACTCTGCTATTGCTGGTGTATCAACCACTCGGCCCCAGCAATTTCCTCACCAAAATACCAAAGTCAGTCCCATAATGAAGAGCACCAATCTTTTCCACTCGGAGATGCAAGTTCTCGCTCAACCACTTTCCAAACTCCGGTGTCGGGACTCTGCTGGGAGACAGGCAAGATGCTATGATGGACATTGTCCTAAGATCATGCTCTTCGTTTGATATCTCTTTTAGCGCCGGACTGGACTTGGGGAGTTGGCTTTGCGGGTCCTGCGTTGGGATGAATTGAAATGCGGGAGGCGAAGGCGCTTCTCGCCCAGGAGTTGTGCTGTGGATACGTGGCCTCAACCGCTTTCCAAATTTCGGTGTCGGGACTCTGCTGGGAGACAGGTAAGATGCTATGATGGACATTGTCCTAGATCATGCTCTTCGTTTGATATCTCTTTTAGCGCCGGACTGGGTTTGGAAAGTTGGTTTTCCGACAGCTCGAGAAGAGCGATGTGAAGGCACTTCTTACCCAAGATTACTTCCGCTGCGACACCGACGAATACCATTTCTTCGGCCTTGTTTCTCCTAAAGTCATCATATCCGAAGCAGCCAAATTTGTGTCAAAAAATTCAAGCGCATCCAGATCGTCTTTGAAGAAGATATTCAAAGAGTTCATTGCCATCACAAGCCATGATTCTCAATGGCTTGTGCTGTTATTTAAAAGAATACTTATTGGGTCACTACACGGACATCAACAAAATCAATGCAGGACTTGATGTCAGAACAACTGTACGTTCATACTCTTACCCTAAAGCTATGTCATTTCTAACTTTGTTTTCAGGTGATGTTGAGAAATTGGAGCACTGCATATGCCGCGAACACCCTGAGAAAGCCGACACACTGGCAGACTGATCTTTGGACCAGACCAAAGTCACTTTACTCGGCAAGGTATTATATGGGTGGTTCAAGGTAACTTTTATACCACACAACCTCTTGGTTTTCAACCAGGATTTCCAGAAAGTCTCACGGGAGTTCAGGAAGGGTAACTTGTATACCACACAACCTCTTGGTTACTACCAGGCTTCTTAAAAAGTCTCATGGGGAGCAGACAATCACAGGTTATCGAATCTCTTTTTGATTCCTTTGTTTCTCAAGGTTATTCTCCACCAGCAATATATCGACGTATATCCTTGTGGGGGGTATGCAGAACTTAGATTATGGGGAGAGATGTTGTATATTATTCGGTCAGAATTTCATGTGTAATTAGTAACTCTTTGTATTATATAGAAATAGATGTTTTGTAATTTATATCGATTTACCTTAAAAAGGATTAGTATTTATACAAATCTGATTGAAAATTTGAAAAATGTTCTAAGGATCCATGTTCAACGACTGAGGCTAACGGGGGAAAGAGGTCCTAGGCTGGGCGGATCAGTCTAGAGAGATTAGTCGAGCTAGCTAAAGGGTGGGCTAGCTTACAGCACCAATGCCGGAAGGATGTGGCATTCAATCAGAACCCCCAAATTATTTGTTTCTCTATTATATCAAACATGCGAGAGTAATCAATACTCCCCTTTCAATTCTTTTTATTCTGTATCCACATGCCTTGTTAATTTATTGCATGTCTTGAATATCAATATCGATCATCGAATTCAATATTCATCTTGGAAAGCTTGAGAAGAACACAAAAAGAGGAAAAAGAAATTGCGATACTTTGGTAATCTATCAAAGATTAATTAAATTGTTTATCGTCATGATATTTTGATATACTCGAGTAAAACATTTTTCTATACATCACGAAAAAATCTCTTTATATATAGTGTAAGTTATCCTGCCACTACAGAGAAACCCATTGCTCAGCAAGGGATATCACGCAATACAGGCAGCCTACACAGCTATAGAGAATTACGATCCCTGACACCCTGACTTCCTTCGCCTTTTGCCAACAGTCTCGAGATTTCTTGGGCATCGTACGTACCAAATTATGTTAATCAATGATGAAGATAGACTAGACTATTCTCCCACGAGTCAAGACGGTGCTCAAGTTTGGTGTCTTACAGAGTCACAGACATAGATCAAGCTTATGTGCAAGTAGTAATATGATGGGCTTATGTGACGAGACTAGGAACTTTTATACAGGGAACGAAGACGGCGTGCGTGTACTGAGTGTCAAAAGTCTGAGTCAGAGACAGAGATAGAGATAGAGATATCATGAACGACGACCCACTAGGTGCGTTCCTCTCTCTCCTGCGCGCTTCCAACGAATCTAGAACCTTCGACGACGAATTTCTTTTGCTTTATAACCTTCCAGATATCAAAAGGATATTTTAGAAAGTCTCTTTACTTCAGGCTTGAGATTATTGTAGTTCATTTCACACAAGTATAACTCCAACTCAGTGCTAGAGAAAGAAGACACCAACAAATCTTCTCCATTAGGATCTTTCACTTCAACAATTGTTACAAAGTCATTCAAGCATCACCACCAAGTGATCCTTGTAGATTATACGGGATCTAACTCATGTTCCGATAGTCTTTTTAAGTATACCAAGTGCGTACCAACTTAAAGAAAGTACAAAATCGACATACATATATACCACTATTCATTTCGACAAGAGATTAGACTTTTATATACAACATATTCATACACTCGAGTATTACAGGATGAAATAAAAGAATCCGCAGACCGATAGTTTCCGCATCGGTAAGACATGGATGGATTTATTGAGTAAGAGCAGACTGGTAAAGAGAAGATATCTTTAACTGCCAGTCGGATTTGGTTGTTCCTGCTTGATGATAGATATGGTGCTACCAATTTAGGACACGAGTCTGGAAAATTAAGACCTTCAGATAGTACTATATGATATTCTATCCGGAATCTCTTAAGACTCTTGTCAGAAATTCTCAAGAATGGAGTCTATTTAGAATTTGTAAATCACTTATTTGGCAGTTGAAGCATTCAACTCATTTCGCAGAGTCAATTCACTTGAAACATCCCATTCAATTGTAGAAGAGAAATAGCAGTGCTCAATTATTCGGCCTTCAAATCTTTCCCAGAATACCAATACTCCATCCCCAAGTCCCATCTCTAAACTCCAAACCCCCCACAAAACGCAATAAATATATATATCCCAAGCTCGATTCCAAGCTCCCTCCCTTCTAAGATGTACAGCAGCATTCACAACATATACAACAGCACAAACCACCGACAATCGCTGTACTGTAATTATAGATGCATTGATTAGCCAAGATTCTCATTTCCAAAGTCCATCAAGGAATGAGGAAATATATGAGCTAGAGAGCAAGGACGTACTCTCTTCCCCCATGCGAATGGTGACCGTGATGTCCACCTCCCCTGAGGTTGACGACTGTATCGGAAATCGGTGAGATGGTCATTTCATTGATGAGTTTCTGACAGGCATATTAGTAATTGTGAAACCAAAAGCTTGTGAGGGAGCGCGCGAAGACGAACCGGTTGCTCGGTGTGGATAGGAGATGGGATCTGCGGGAGACTCATCGAAGAAGGTGAATGAGGGCGCGACGGCTGCTGAGAATTTAAAAATGATGACATGGTGAAAGAAAGAATTTGAAGAGACAATCTAATATCGCGATTTGAAAAGCGTGTGCTTTCTCGTGAGATGTCGAAGCACAACAATGTGCGAGGAATTTCGGGATGATGAGAAACAAATTTTTACAACAAGAAAGTAATTAATTAAAGCCAAGATGACAAGAGCTTCAAGACCTTAAATGAAATCTTAATAAGTACCAACTATCGATAGCCGCTGGGCTTGTCGGCGGTGCTTCCAACTGTCAGATTACTGGCCGAAGAATTGGCCACATCAACCATTCTAGAGAATGCATAAAACGATGGTTATTCGACGATCTGTATGAATAACGTGGTCTGTAAAACTAATCAAGTTGTTCGAATTTTAGATCTTAATTTTGAAAGCAGCTATTCCGTCCATTTCATTGAAGATAAAATATGTTACCTCATCCCGAGATTTAAGTTCCTCTCCCGCAAGGCCGCCTTGGAAGTCTATGGTGTGGCGGTTCAAGATCTTGATGTTAGCGCCCGCGGATGTGTTGGGAATAGTCAAAGAAAATCGTAGGAATTGTCTTTACAATGAGGGTTCGAGAAAACAAACGCGGGCTTGTAGTTGATCAGTGTCTCCTGTCCAGGCCCACCAAAAGCCAATTTTTGAAAACCTTGATTGAATCCTTGCAGATCAGAGATCGGAGTTGGAATTTCCACCCATTGAAAGTTGAAGTAATGTGAGGAGCGATTAGTAGACAAGCAAGAAAATACCCTACGCATTTTACATTTTCTCATCCTCTGCCAACCTTTCAATCGGTGATTTCTGAGCCATTCTTCAATCTATCAATAAGGTTGACATGCAACGAAATCAATCCTCATGACATGTAAAACATCCTCCTCATTCCTAGGATCATATCTCTTTTCCGCACTTTACATCTCTCTCAACTTCCCAATCCTTTCCGTAATTCTTTCCGCCATCCCCTTAGCATCGACTTTGTTTCTGGCTGCTGCAAGATACTGTTGGAAATTGGTTGGCTATCATGATATTATGGTGGATTGGGTGGTGAAAACTTAGTTCCGTACCAAGAATGTAATCTCACCAATAACGTTTGAATTGTTTCACTCGGGTAGTATAGATTATTGTCCGATGTTCTGGAAACCTCAATTACCGCATGCTGACCTCTGTAAGTCTTGTAAGATAACATTCATAGAAAACGAGCATTGAAACAACCACTTACATACCCTAGGGCCATAACCCATTGAAGATCAACGGAAGCTTCGACAGACACTCGAAGATTTTCCAGCATGCATGGTGAGCACTAAATAGACACACGGAAGTATCTCTTACATCGTCTACGGCAAAGTAGTTCTGAAGAAGAAATAGTCGACGACGTAACGATCACGAGGCAAATCTTCCGGTTCAAAATGATCTTGGACATATATTGACTGATCTTTGATAAAGAAGTCACTACACTTCTCATAATATGCCGCATTTATCTCTTCAGGAGCAATTCATTGGTTTACTAATGTAAATATAGCACTAGCTAACTGTCACATACCTTCATTTGCTCCGCGAAAATGTGATGGCCACTGTACCTCCATCAAAAATCCAACCTAGACCAGCAATATGCACATTATCTACTCCATCTTAAATGATATCCTCACATTCACTTTCTTCGTTCATTTCAGACACTTGTCTCCAGAATCATGCAGACCACCCGAGTAATGATTAGCTTCTGGAAGTATATACTTTGTGCAGCACCGTGCTAAATTGAACGAAACGACACAGTTTGACAGCTATCTTCGTAACGACCCATCTTAATTTTGACATCAGTAGTAACTGACAGAAAATCTAAAGTGATGGAGGAGACCAAGATAGAGGGAGGGGGGGTGAACCATGGTAGTCATTCCTAGGAATGAATTTTGACAAATAGGCTCCGGAGACTAGACAAGGCCTTACATAAACCTTCAATGTATGCATGAATTCGAAGCTGATTATATACAACTAATCAAAGATATGACGTTTGCGCTCAATGTTCCCTACTCGTACATTAAGGTCCGACGATCACTCTTGAAGCCCAAGCTACTGCCGTGTTTTAGGTATTGAAAAGATTGATAGACTTTGCATGAAGCATGTTGGATAAAACTGTACTCAGAATGTATACCAATTGTACGTATATTTGAATGATTGAAAATGACTGAAAATCATTGAAAAGTTATGTGATAGGAAGTCGGTCACAATAGCAATGAAGAAGAAGGTATCTAATTGAAGCTAGGATAGTTCACAGGTTTGAGATTTATGGCCCGAGCGCTTCTGAAGTCGTTCCCGGATATCCCCCGACGGACCTTCCGAACCCCTCCAAATCTCCAAACCCATTTGCCCCAACATTTGAAGTAATAAACCCATTTACCCTTTCCTCGACGACTTTCATCCTCAATTCCCTGATTAGCCTAACATAACAAAGTACATCATGGCTCTCGAACATGGAAACCCCGCCGACCTCCTCCCTATCCACTGGAAATCTCAAATCACAGCTTGGTTTGCCGAAGATACCCCCTCCTTCGATTATGGCGGATTTGTCGTCGGCGATAGCGAACGAACTGCGACTTTATATGGGAAATCGCGGGGAATATTAGCAGGTGTGCCATTTTTCGACGAAGTATTCGCACAAGCTGGATGTTCGGTGAAATGGCACATGAAGGAGGGAACATTAGTTGACCCAGGCGCATCTGGAAAAGTAGCTGTAGCTACTGTGACCGGACCTGTACGAAAGCTATTATTAGGAGAGCGAGTCGCACTCAATATGTTGAGTCGCTGTTCGGGGATTGCGACGAAGTCGAGGGATATGGAGGTTTTGGTTAGGAAGGCGGGGTATAAGGGGATACTGGCTGGAACGAGAAAAACTACACCGGGGTTTAGGTTGGTGGAGAAATATGGCATGATTGTTGGGGGTGTGGATGGGCATAGACATGATTTGTCTAGTATGACTATGTTGAAGGACAATCATATTTGGGCTAGGGGGAGTATTACTGATGCGGTTAAGGCTGCGAAGGCAGCTGGTGGGTTTGCGTTGAAGATTGAGGTGGAGGTTGATAGTGAGGAGGGTGCTGATGAAGCTATTGAGGCTGGAGCGGATATCATCATGCTGGATAATTTCTCAGGGGATGGATTGAAGGTTGCTGCGAAGAGTCTGAGGCAAAGATGGGCTGGGAAGAGGGGTTTCTTATTGGAGTGTAGTGGTGGACTTACTTCTGAGAATGTGGAAACATATATTAATAATGGTAAGTTGTATGCATTTTATCTTGATGGGTTATTACTAATTACTACTTATAGATATCGATATTATCTCTACGAGTTCAATACATCAGGGCGTACCTCATGTCGATTTTTCTTTAAAAATCGACCATTAATGGATAGTATAGGGAAAGAAATATTACACAGTACTCTGCAGATTGTGCGTGATGTTCGTGCCTTCTCATGTATTTTTATAATGGCAATCAGCTCGTTGATCACATCGCAAGAACACATGCAGAAGGGGCCAATTATTCCGATATCCATAAGTGAGTCTTTATCGCAATACATGCGGGAAGATCATATCATCGTGGATCTGGAGTCTTCAGTACTGGTAGAGTAAACATTCTCATCTCATCAAATCATGAAATTATAGTACATACCGGCTCGTATATACTTAGAACTATAATACACGTACTATATACTCGAGTAAACAGCTGATAGCTGCAGGAGTACTGATTGATATTATGAAATTTCTTTTAAAATCTAATAGAGATTTGAGTATTATCTAGACTGGATCAATACAGACAGTACTACTCTTGAGGTTTCCCTTTGCATCTTGAACTCTAGTATATTTATTTTTCTATTGGTCTTGGGGTGATGAGAGGAGGATTTGAGATGAGGAGTTTATTCCGGAATGAAAGTTTCAAGTGATCTATTTGTTGTTGCAATTGATGAAACATGTATGGTATTTGCCATGGGTAATAGGTGGTAGAGATGTAATATCGGTTTGGAGATGGCTGTATGAATGATGAATAATATACTTGGTTAAGATGTTCGGATTTGATCTGATTTGATTTGACTTGATTTGACTTGAGTTACGCTCAGACAGTCAGTTAGTACATTTTTCGTCAGGATGGATTTATAAGTACAGTAGTCTAGAAACCAGTACTGGTGTCTCGCCTCATTTCGAGAATATATAGATAATGTTGCACTTAGGATATCAATTTCAACATCTACTCTATCACAATTTCCAACACCAACATCAACACAATCATTCTCATCCCCTCTACAGGATCCAACCGAGGCAACAGTTGGTGGTGGGGGCTGACATAAGCCACCAAGCACATCCGCACGGTTTAAAAATCATTTTCAGACTCAATCGGACCCACATACAACTATCTAATATATACTTGGACAAAGCACACCTTACATCAAAAGCAGCAAACAGCACCAAGCCCGGCTGGCACAATTGGTTAGCGCGTGGGCCTTTTAAGCTAGTATCTAGTCTATGAAAGCCCAAGGTTGAGAGTTCAAGCCTCTCGTCGGGCGTCTGCCATATATTTTTTGCATTTTTCTTTTCTTTTTGGTATTTGATTTATCTGTTGTTTTGGTGGTGGTGATTGGACACGTGACTCGAATAATCAGTTTGTAAGTGAAAAGTAGTACTCTCAGTTGATTGGAGTAGAAAAGTGGTTCGAAAGTGACCTCTCCACCTTGCTTTTTGTTTGTCTCTTGCAAAAGTTTCTTGGAAGATCTCACTCAATTCATTCAGTTGGTTGGGATTCATTAACTAGAAGGTAATTCTTCATTTATTGTCAAACACACTTTCTACAAAACTTAACTTTCTCTCTTTTCAAGAACTAATTGGTGAGCCCACAACTATAATATCAGTCTGGTTGCCATCGCTCACATAGCGATTCCTAGTGGAGACTACATTTTCCCAGCTTATTTAAAAAGACCACGCTCAACCAATTACACATCGCGAGCTTCTGTTTGCTCTCCGTATTTGATATTCGACAGCTCAGGCGGGCCGCCTCGCCTCTCTCAAATTAACTTCCAACACAGGGGATTCCAAATGGTCAATTACTACAAATACAACAACCCGGCTCACAAAAACCGACACGAAATCGATTCAAAAAATGCCAAAAATTTGAGTCTCTCAGGCGCGAGTCGAACGCGCGACATCCAGATAACAATATACAATTACAGTCTGACGTCATAAACCAACTAGACGACCGAGAGTAATTTCGAGTTTTGGCTCGAAGGGTCAAAGTTTGTTGTGTTTGCTGTCTGAAGTGATGAAACTTATATATATGTAGAGAAAGACCGGTGGATGCATATGGTGTGGGGCTGTGGGGATTTTCTGGAATTGGGCATATTTCGGTAATGTGCTCTTCTTATTGTAACAATACTAACCAACCAAAATTTGGTTCAAGCAATCAAGTGATAGGTAACGCTGTAGTAGTCTAGATTCAAGCCTTCATTTATATTTATTTTAGAGGACTTAAGTGACCTCCGGTTTTCAATATTGGTGTACATAGTTGTGTCATCTACGAATTGTACTTGTATTGATCTACTAGGTATTATTCTTCGTTAAGCAAGGATTGGGCTCATATTATGTTGAGTATCTATTCCGAAATACATTACTGTCTTTCCAGTAATCGTTACGTGAGACCACAACTAAACACCAATACACGAACCGACACAGCTTGGAATATCGAAATACAAGGTCTAGATCGAATTCAGGACCTTAGGTGAGTCGAAATGCGAAAAGTATATACATACATACCACAGCGGCGCATCTTTGACCCAACATTCGAAAGGTTTCTCGACCTTGCCTTGCTTCTGCGACTATTCCACTCTAGATTTATCACATTTTTTTCTCAGTTGAAATGCATGTCACCTGATCTTTGGATTTACATTCTAGTCTGAAGGAGAGTCATACGAGTACAAATGTATTGATATATCGGGGATCGGTATAGATAGCATTTTAGATAGAATAAGATAACCACTTTTCTTTGCTTTGTACAAACCATACCATCGCACCAGATTTTCGAAATCTCTATAGACTATAGTTAGGGAATAAAAACAACTTGAATTAGGATCGGGATCAGGCAGGGGATATGCTATAAACAAACCTGGTACAGCAAAATAAGGAGGGAGCATGGTATGCTTCTTGGGATAGACCAAGAGCTCGGTTGAGAGCCCCATCGCAAAGAGGTATGTATGTATAACCCGTTAATTATATTAGAACTAAGCAGTAATTAAGTTATCTTGGTGCTTGCGCTGCGCTCACTGATTAGGTAGAAGGAGAAACTTCCACATCTTTATGGGATACGGGACTTGAGAATGGGTGAGAATTTTGAGCTGTGCAAAGATTGAAAGATTTGGGGGTGGTGAAGAATCATTCAAGAATGCAAAAGAGGAGGTCTTGGAGGATGAAGGATGAGAGATGAGGGATGAGGGGTGAGGGGTGAGGGGTGAGGGACTTGGAGAGAGATTTAGAGGGAGATATTAAAGATGATATGGCTGTATATGCCAGTATAATATGAATATAAAAGAGAAAGAATGAAACTATGAAAGACACCACGAAAGAAATGGATACTGTTGGTTGATTGTGCCATGAATATTAAACTTCTATTCTAGCCCTATCAGTGGCTTGTGTTTATTATTGGGATAAATCGGTTGGCTTGTGGATTTAAGAATATTTTGAGTATTAAACAGTGAGTGATAGAGGGGGAGAAATATGTAGCAGATGGGATTTGAGGATGAAGATGAGAATGAGGATGAGAATGTTGATGATGGAATATCTGAGATGGCCAGCTGAGGATAATGAGTGAGTCAGATATGATATATTGAACGAAAGGTATAGCAAGTAGTCTACTTGTATCCGGAATTTCTCTTTGCAATATTTATATGTTTTTTTTATGGTAATAGTATTCCAGAGAACAAGGTTTTGATTGATACCTGATACCTGAAGAATTATAGATCCTAAAAGATGCATCATGCCTCCAATGATAGAACCAGATAGACATGGTACCGGCAATGAGTCAATGACACAAGAATTTGCTGCTAATAAATTATATTATCACTATTTCAATTTTCAAATTTCCAGTTTCCAACGCACGAATAAACTGCGTAAGTAAACACCATGTGTGTCGAATCGCCAAATAGAAAGGCGTACCAGTATTTCCATTGTCCTTAGACTAGTCCAGTGTCTTGTTTTGTCGAATGTATATGGCGGTTTGAAGTTTTATCTTTATAATATTGTTTTGAAAGTTGAATTGTATCATTACTTTATGTGTCGTGGGGAAAGGTAATATATATAGAAATAGATTATAGTGAGGTTTCTCGAGTATTTCAGACAGTCTGCACTGGAATTTTTGGGTGGACAGCCTCATGTGCGATTTTTGAATTATCGTAATTTTGAGAGTGGCAGCTTGGCATGAATTCAAATTCTGAGGGTATTTCGTAGGTTTGTCTTGGCTAGTATAGCGCGATGCGTAAATAGAAAGGATAGGCTTAGCTTCAGTATGTTGATTGGTATACTATCTTATACCAAGTAGGCTTGAAGCGGTATTGGCAGAGAAGGTTTTGGTCGTGGGTTGGCTTGTTGGAGATTATGCTGTGCTCTACTGTTGTTGAGTAATTGGTTTTTAGAGTCCTTTTGATAGTATCTGATGCAGTACAGTCAATGTAATTCAATACGCAACAGTAAAGCAAATCCGGGGAGGGGGGGGTATAACAATACGTCATGAGACACAAGATTGGCATACAAAATTCCATCGTGTAATTTTGTTGTGTGATCTTGTCAAGGAAGGAATCGATGTGAGGGTTTGTCGATTTCAAGAGAGGTACCAACCTTGGAAGATGGCGAGAGCTTGTGGTTGTGGTGGATGGAGGAAAGAGTATTCAAGCCCACCAAACATTGTTCTGGATAGAACAACTTCGGAGGATTTACCGATCTATTATATATACCTTATACTATGAGAATGTGTAGGTCTGGAGATGAAGGAGAAGAGTTGCCATATCATTTGTATTGCCTGGTTAGAGCCTATTTGAATTCTTGAGCTTCACGAGTAGCTTGAGATAGGATAATTACCTTCTCACCAAGGAGCAAAAGGCTCGCGATCATTACACTAATCTCACAACAAGCTTAATCATAAAGAAGCGTAGTATGGGTATCCTTGTACATTGAACAGACCTGATCAACGTGCAGCATATGCATCCCATACCAGAAATCAGTGTTGAAGCAATTTAAAGGCCAATAGACTAGTTTTGGGATCACTTTCCTCACAACTGGCATGACACAACTTTGATAGTTAATCATTTCATCGGCTAAGTCTTATGATACTCCTGCACCGAGTGAAACAGAGCACAAGATATTCCTTTGCAGGAGATATTTGGCATGAAAATGATAGCATCAAAACGAAGAGTGGAGGAACATTTCAAGAACGAACCATAGATATGAGAGGGCACTTACACCTAGTAAAGAGGCCTCGAAGTAGATCATCAAGAAAGCTTGACGGGATCGGTCCCTAGCAATAAACCCATAAAACATCATGCCAATACAGAAGATCTGGCAAGGGTGGCTCGGAAAGGTAGACCCGAAACTAGTCGAGTCTAAACAAGGGATAAATCATAGTCAGGGAAAAGGAGCCAAACTAGCCTCTCAACACCCTTGTACAGATATGCAACAAATGACTCTATAACCAAGTATTTACCAAGGAGTTGGTGCCCAATACTTGATTTGGTTAAGACTGTCTTGACTACACGTCGATACTTTGAGTCGTTACTTTGTAAAATCTCGAAGCCATTGAACCTCATCATGAAGATTATAGAAACAAGATTGAACAGATACGTAGCAGGGCGTGATATATTAGCATCACCATTCGAACACAATGCTTTCTTCCAACATCAACGAGAGTAAAATAAAAAAGCTAGCCATGGTAATGAGTACTCGTAGTGAGTGAAGGATATTGACACGTGACGCGGTAGATGTTGTAAGCGGCCGCATGTCCGCTTGAACCTCGATGTACTTTTCTATGCAATCCTAACACTCCCTCAGCACTCCGCAAAATGAAGCGCATCAGTCAATTACAGGTGGCAAATGGTCTGAAAGGCTTACGGGTGTATAAGTGTCAAGGTATTGCTTCACTGAGTCAACGATGTATACACACCACACCACATTCGCCCGCAACAGTTGCACCTGCGGCATTCACGGCATCTGGCCCACCCCCAGCTCCACCAACTCTCAGCACCGAGGATGTTGATATCCGGGTTGCCAGGAAGAGGAAACAAGCAGAGTTACTCAAGAAAGGTCAAGATTTCAGGGCGGTGGCTAGTGGAAAGGGTGGCGGAACGGCGAAAACCAAGAGGTTTTGGAAGGATGTTCATATCAAACATACAGAAGGTATTATTACCGCTGCCAATTCTTGGTTCTCCTGGAGTCTTGAGCTTGCTAATCAACACTGAATTTATAGAGGGAATGCAAGTATTCCTCGATAAACATCCTCTTCGACGACCTTCCAAAGATATTCTCACAGTACCACATCATAAACCACATTTGGCATCTGCCATTGCCCTCGAATGGGATCTCCTCGTATCGGCTCAACAAGCTCTCAAAACCCATCTTATACCGATGACATCTCTCGTGAACCGTGCGCTTGACATTGTGGATGAAGGCAATGAGGGAAAAGCCACGATAAGAAATAACATCATCACGACAGTGATGCGATATCTCGATACCGATTCACTTTTATGTTGGGCACCTGAACCGCCTGCAGATCCACCAGGATATGAAAGACATGTTGATAGAGTTGTAAGTTTACGAATCATTCAGAGGCTGTCTGCAGAGCCTATAATCCAATTCTTGTCCGAGAGGGTATGGCCTGGGGTGGAACTTGTACCAATTTTGGATGCACATAGCATTGTACCTAAAAGTCAACCACAAGAAACTAAGGACATAATAAGAGGATGGGTTTCCGGATTACCTGCTTTTGAGCTTGCGGGATTGGAGAGAGGTGTTTTGGCTGGAAAAAGTTTACTTGGAGGTGCACGATTCCTGGTTGAATGGAGTACCGAATTGGCACATCTGCGAGATGATGCTGCCGAAAAGAAATTCGGTGTAGAAGAGGCAGCTGTAGCTTCGAGCTTGGAGGTAGATTGGCAGACTGGTATGTGGGGAGCTGTTGAAGATACACATGATGTTGAGAGGGAAGATATTAGGAGGCAATTCGGAAGTATAGTACTACTTGTATCTGGGGAGAAAAAATAAGCTACTTGCTATGTGGCATCATTCATAGGCGGTTTATACTGTGTCAATGATTGGATTGTCATTAAGTTCAATATGATTTAAAGTTTGGAACCTAGTACTTGTATTTACTGGACATGTGAAAGAATTAGACTCTCTTACAAGGGCTTTGAAGGCTGAATTATTGAAACTGAACATATCACAACACATTTGTGACAAGACAGCTCCAAACACCTTCTCCTTGGTCGCAACATGGACTTCAGTTCAACCTTACATACTTGAAATCAAAAGTATGCAGTTCTGTCTATGCTTTAGAGACTCGGCACCTTGGGAGTTCTATTAGCATGGTAGACTTTACAATCATCCCATGTCTATCATCCCAAATTATAATCTTTCAAGAGTGATTAGTAATGCTTTCCAGGAAGAAGATGATTTATGCAAAGTCCTGAAGTAGCCCTGGGCAATAAGCTCTTTTAGATATAGATATGCTATATCAAGTTTGACAACAATCAATAACATTAACGAAGCTCCTGGCATTGAATAATATAGATAGAGACGAGTTTTAACTAACAATGAATAAACCCTACTAATACACATACACTATCATTGTTATCATTTCAAGAACCTAGTATACATCAACCACTACCATCTTCATTCTCAGTACATTTCATTGTCAAGATCTGAGTTGTACACTCAAGTATAACAAACTAGCGAATGATATTTGATATCTCTTCAGACAATTCCACCAACAATTACAAATTACCGCTGGCATTTTCTTGATGATGATATCCTATCACATCACATCAGTTTCATCTCAATGCTAGTATTCATCTTCAAGTATATACTTACTCATTGTATCTCCCTAGAGTAACAGTGTGTATACACAATTCCTATCCCAAATACTTTAGACCATCATTCCTCTCAATATCAACCCTTCCATGTCGTAAAATACACAAAGAAGCACCCTGATTTGCACCACAAACTTCACAGAACTAGTCTTCAATACCCAAGACAGACTCCCAAAGACAGTCATATCAGTATTCTCACTTATATACCCTGACTAGACCGACTATTTCCACATACAGATATTCAAGAAGACAAATCATGGTATTTTAGACTCCAAACTTCAGCAAAGTATCTCCAACTTCAAAAATCCAAGTTGGACAATTAATAACCACTATCACTATTCTATTCTGAATACCATAAGTCAACTGTTTTACAATAGGGAGATCTGAGAAGAGATATTATGAACTTGTCGATTCGATCCCAAACCTTTTGTGAATTACTTCAACGTGTACTCATGAGATGGACAGCAATAATTGTATTTCCACCTCCCATAACCTAAGCTATATATAGATATTTTCCCATATCAAATCCTGAGAAGGATAGCTGGAATATTGTCACCTCCTATTATATCTGTAAAGTATCCCCAAGTGTTCAATTCTTAGTCAGAGCAGTATCTATACCATCATATCTATAACCCTTCACCACCCCTTGAATGTCGAAGTTTGAGAAAGACAATTATCTGGTATCTGCAAGTTTCCTTGGAAAAGTATACTATGATGTATAACTGTAAAGATAAGAAATTGGTATACCATCCCTTGTATTTGAGTCGATCCAGCTTCAATTATCCAGTTCTGAGATATAGCCAGGATATCTTTGTTTGTAGCTGTCTGTGGAGTAATTTGTAGTATCTCAGTCCATCAAATGCAATCAATGTACTGTCCTATATACCTTGTACACCTGGTTTTATTGTTGAGGCTTGAGAGGAACAATTGTTTTTATTGTTGAGGTTTGTGAAAGACAATTCTGTATTGTTAACTATGTCCTTCCAGGAAGTATGTCAAATATCTGTCTGCTATTCAAACAATAAGTCCAACCACCCTCCTAAACATCCTCAGCTCTCCACCATCAATTGTCAAAGTATATTTGAACAATAGACCAAGTTCTTCCAGCCATCAATCAATCAGCCTTGCTACCATAGAGAGCAGAGCAATTTCAGTAAGTCAGAAATTTCTCATTTTCCCAAGTATTCACTTTTTCCCCAACCCTTCACCTTCAACCATCTGCCCTTCTCGAGACAATGGCGGCTGAGTAGATAAACGAGGATATCACCTTGATAGCTCAAAATGCAGTTAAGTAATCTCCCTTCAATTTCCTTTCCTCTTTTCCTTTCCTCTTTTCTCCTTGTCAAAAAGCAGTTATAGCAAAATTTTCTGCTATATTTATTACCAAGCGACGGTACCAAGAAGAGTACCATAGCAATCACCATGGGTCCAAAGAAGACCAAAGTCCCTGTCAAGGGCAAAACCAAAACCAACCGTTCCTCCGCCGCCCCTTCCGCCCGCTCGGCCTCTCGCGAGGTTCGAGGCGAACCAGACGCGCTTGGTAAGCGCAAGGAAATGCTTACCACCAGGCGCTACCGCGCAAGACAACGGTGCCGGGCCTCTCCAGCCTGGGAAGCTGCGACGTCCGAGGCGAGGATGGAGATGGAGAGAGCGGCGGTGGCGGCAGTGATGGCCGGGTAAGTCGATCTAAATCATCTATATGATCTTGAGCTTTTGGTAAATTTGCTTCGACCTGAAGTTTGGTACTGACGATATATAATATAGCCAGCCAGATATGCGGGTGGAGGCCGAGAGGGCGGGGATGAAGGTGGGGGCGAGGTATGGGGGGTGGAAGGAGAAGGGGATGGGATGGAAGAGCAAGGGGGGAGGAGAGGCGAAGAAAGGGGAGGCGAGAGAGGAGGGTGGAGAGGAGGGAGGTGGAGAGGACGAGAACGAGGACGAGGATGAGGAGATCGAGGATCTGCCCCCTAGTGGGCCAGATGATACGCCGGGTACGCAATATCTTATCCTACCTCGTTAGCCCACAACAACTGGGACAATCAACTAACGGGCATATAGGCTTCTGGGGAAGACGGGGGGACGAGGACGATGAGGAGGGAGGCGGTGGCGGCGCTGGTGGCTACTTAGCGCCAGCGCCGGCTGGCATTAATTAGTAAGTCTTGATTTTCCAACTTAAAAGGGGGGGACATGGACACTGTAGCTAACTCAAGCGTCAGTTCGGTGCTGGATCCGGCTCTATTTTTTTGAGCCGGCCGGCTTGTCTGTTGCTCTTCGGAGCTAAGTTTGGAAGAAAAACCGGCGGGTTACGCAGCCAGGAGCTTCGGCTCAAATTCAAGAACTCTCTGCTTTAGACTTAAAAATCTACCTGATTGTTGTGCAGTGTTTTGTGACGATAAATACTTGACTACAAGAATTTCGACAATAAGCTTTTGTGTCTGGTGTTTTGTGACGACAAATGTTGACTACAAGGATAACGATAATAAGCTTTCGGATCTGCCAAAACTATGTAAGTACCCCTCGTTAACTTACGATGCGTACTCGCTAACTACAAAAATCTCTACCTCATTGGCAGATCGGTCCTTCTATCCACCCGATTCGATCTTCGACCTTCGAACCATATCGACTTCTATACTCTACAATACAATTGGGCAGGTCTGTGGTGGATGGAGGTGGATCCAGAGACAATATCAATGTATTGTTCGATATAGTCCGAGACAACTAGACTAACAGGTCGTTTAGCAATGAAGGAACGACAGGAGGATAAGAAAGACGACAACGACAATCACGACGACGACAACGGCGACGACAGCGACGATGATAACGACGACGACGGCAACAATGAAACGGGTACACGCAACGTGTAAATATCAAGTTCACTTCGCACTTTCAGCTGCATTCGGACCCGCGCCGCCGCCAAGTACCATCAAACCCCCACCTCGAATCGAACAATCAACCGGGTACATAGAGATCAACGCCAATCCCCACTCTAGGCCCTCTAAGCTTCCGTCATTCTCTCTGATGCCGTGGTACCTTCGGGTCAGTACAATACCCTTCAATGGCCTCAATCCACTTGAATAATCAAAGCTAATTTGCTGTGGCATGTATATGCTGAATTTCTACCTAGCGAGGGACGCCATAATATGGAGCCGTCGGGTGAGTAAATATCTGTATTCCAGATCTGTCAATATAATAAAAAGCTGGAGATATACTCTAGGCCGACTTCTTTGAGCTTCGGGCTCACAATAAAATCGTTTCTCGGCTCTCACATCACTTTTTGCACATTTGCCAAGACTTCTTGACCTATTTTGAATGGTATGTATTATGTATGACTGATTGACTTGCTGACAGCCAGCCTGCTACTAAATATAGATTATTTATGTATATACGTGTTGTCTTGTGTATCGTTGCGTCTCATTACAAGCCACCCAACTTGTCGCCAAGATTTTGACGCGGCATAAGAAAAAGCTATCGAAGAAGATATATACTTTACATTACTTATCCTATAATCCTTTCCTCTGGAAATCTACTCATGATGACTCTTCCTCCTCTGCATCATTAAAAATATCTTCAACATCTGTCCATGCCTCTCCAGTAGCAGCTTTCTCACGCTCATTCCAGTATTTGTCATTGAAAGCCCAGAACTCCTCTCCAGTGATTGGACATTTTGATTTCTCGAACCATCGAGGAACGAAAGCCTCGCCAACCTGTTCACGTTCACGACGTCTGGCACGTTGTTTCTCTTCAAGGCGATTCTTCTCCGTGGCAGCTAAATCGTACTCGCCATCTTCCATAGCACGCTGATCGGGTCTTAATCTGGAGTCAGTGGGTGGCAACCACGGGCGGATGTTATCATTGATGTCGTTAAAAGTGAGAACAAAAGGAGTCAGATTAAATGGAATTCCAATCGGACGTGGATTAGCTTCCCAGACCAAAAATGCTTGGCTTGGGTCATTGACACTGCCTCGGCGGTGGGAAGAGCCAGATTTTGGTTCCTCAACAGTCGCCTCATAGCCAGGCGTGAAACGAGCATAAATTTTACTGTTCCAGCGGCCACCAAGACTAAATCGAGTTTGACCGTTTGCATCGTTAACTCTACCAGTGATATGATAAGCACTAGATGCTTTCCAACCCCTAGCCTTGAACTCGACGTTGCACACTTCACCTGTTGTCCAATTCTTGACCTCCATTGGTCCGTAATTATCAACCACAGGGTTGCCGGTGATAATTCCAATGACGGAGGAGGTGACTTTTTTCCAAGTATACAGCTCTTCTGGCCCCCCTGCTGTTGGACGAAGTCTGAGGAACCAAGTGCCAAGAGGATTAATGTCGAAAGATTTTCCATAGAATTTGGACTTCACAGCTGATTCTCCATAATAAGTCCATTTCGGAGACTCAGCCCAAGCAGCACCAACTGGTGGATGATGACTGACTTGTTCGATGAAAAAGCGATAATTTTTATCCGGACGTACGTATTCGAAGGTTTCGCCGAGAAGTGGATTGAAAGGCTTTGCTACTCTATTAATAGTCGATGCATACTCACTTGAGGCGAATGCTGCAACATATACCATACGCTCAATTGAGTCTGCTCGATCAGCTGCAATATCCAGAAGATCTGCGTATTCCATATCTTCACCGCATCGATAGAGCAATGATGTAGGTTCGTTAAAAGACACAGGAAGCGTCATCTTCGTCATATCCTTGCCAATCATAGACTTGAGGATGCTCTTATGAAGTGTTAGTGATTACAGATAAAGTGAGCTCAAGTACATACCCATAGAGAAATCTTTGGACGATCATCAGCATCCATCTTTAGACGAGTTCGTATGCCATTTTCATATCCCTTGAAAGCAGAACTGATGTCCAGCCCGTCCACTTGAGTAAGTTGGCTCTCTTCTGCCTCCTCAATTCCACCTACGGCAGGGCTTGTAGGTGGCAGAACTTTAACCACTTCCACTTGTCCGGCATCAACAGCGTCGAAAAACTCGTCATCTTCGTCTGAATCTGTATCAGACAAATCAGGGAGGTCTTCGATAATCGATTTCTGTCGCAGTGAACTTTTACGAGTCGGTACATGTCTTGAAGAGGCGGTGCCATCATCATTGAGTAAAACGTCTCCGAGAGCTTCGGTTATTTCGGCCCTGGCTGCTGGTTCACCTCTACTGTCTGGTCTAGACGCCGTTCGAGTGACTTCACGAAGTGCTCGTTTTGTCAACTTTCTCTTTTCTTCCGATTCATCCATACGAGCCATTAAGTCATCTTGTTCACGAGCTACTTGAGTCATACTTTCTTCCCACATTCGTCGCATGTGCTCTTCTCGATCAAGACGGTGTTGCCAATACGTGTCTCTATCTTTGGATATCTTCAAAAGGTCGCCGACAAGACCTTTGAGATTACGAATGGCCGAATCATACGTCGCGGTTGCTTGATTTGCGACTGGGTCAGAGATGACGAGGTTTGGATTTCTGGACTGCTCTACTTGCAAAGCGGCATTGACCTGTCCCATGAGTTCGAGCTGTAGTCGAGCAGAATGAGCCGTGATTTCAAAGGCGTCTTTACTTGCCGGTATCTCGTGCTCACTAGAGCCATCGCCATATTCCTCATCGTAATCTCCATCCACGAGTCCAGTTTCGATATGACTTGGTACTCTGCCCCCGTCACCCATGAAGCTTGGATTGTATGATCCGTAATTGGTTTCATCATCATCGCCAACACTTCCAGTATTGCTTGTAAATGCGACTCGCGAACTTGGAATCTTGCTAAGACTATTCTGTGGCATGAGCTTGCTGCCTTGAATACTCTCACGACGTGACTCCGAGTAGACAAGAGGCTCGTTATGCCCATTGCTGTCACAAGCTTCCTTGTTGCCAGATTGCTCTTTCGCTTGTTGTAGCAACTCTAATCTCTTGGCCTCTTGCTTTTCCTCTTCTTTTGCTTGATCTTTGGTCCATTGAATAGAATTGTTGAGTGCCCAAAACCATCTCTTAGCCTCAACTTCGTGGTTTGCTTTGAGGTGATACTTGACAGATGACTTTCCAATGATTTCGAACCTAGTCTTCTCTGTAGGGTCCATGTTAAGCTTTGCGATACGCATATTGATCGCGCCACGACAAGCGGATCCTGCGTCATCCTGATGCTTGGAATAACTCAGGATTCCATCTTCTAGGGTAAACCACCGTAATTGATAACCCTTGCGATAGTTTGTCCACTTTTTCAAATAGCCCTGCATCTCTCGACCTTCCTTGCCAGCCAGTGCATCTGATGGATTGGCGTTGACTACTCCTTGGTGAGATGCATTTCCCAGAACAGCTTTTTCCTGAATTCCGCGTTGAGCGGCGACTGCAGCAGGAGACTTTTTTAACATAGCCTTGGTTGCGTCATCCTTTGTAACATCTTGCGGTAATTTTCCTTTTCGGTCGCGACGGAAAGGATCAGCACCATGTAGCAGTAACACTTGGATAAGTTCAATATTCTTCTTCCTGGAGGCTTCGTGAAGTAAAGTGCCACCAGCATGAACCGTGATTGGGTCAGAGGTAAATTCTCCACCATTGATGTCCAAGACGGTCTTCACTCGAGATTCCTCCAAAATTTCGCCTAATGACTTGTAGTCTCCTTGCGCAACCAGTTCTTGTATTTGCTTGATTTTGCTATCAACAAATAATGAACGAGAGAGCTGTAGTTGCTGGAAAATATCGGGGGTTCGAGCAAGATCGAGGGGTAGACGGCCAGCATAATTTGGCAAAGAATCGTTAATATCAGGCTGCCCAAGAAGCAAGCGCACAATAGGGCCACGACCTAATGTTGCAGCAAGGTGAAGAGCCGTATTCCCATCACGATCTCTCGCATTGATGTCAATCGTCCCAGCACCATCAGATAGCACATATTCTATTACTTGTTGTTCGGCACATTGGATGGCTAGGTGTAGGATGGTGGTATCCTCAAGGTTGGTTGAAACTGTTGCGATGCTAGAGATGCTCATTCGACTGCCGTCCGACTCACGGATTGCCTTAGATATCGCTGCTGTATCTCCATTCTTCAATGCCTCAAATATTTTGAACTTTCGTACAGTCTGCTCGATGGACATCGTCTTATCGGGTGACAGAGTAGATATGGGTCGTGAATGAACGCTGGAAGCTGATCTCGTGAGTCCAGATGTGCTCGTAGATTTCTTCGAAGAATGGCCGAGGGTATGTTGAGATGTTGTAGCCGAAATTATGGGTGATTGCGCCGTTGTCGCAGGGGACATCAGAGCTTGGTTTTCTGCATTATCATCATCTTTCCCTTCTCTCCTGCTGCGAAGGAGGGACAGAGCAGACGATTTACTTCGTTTGTGGCTAAGCATGACCAGTATTAGCAGATTGTCAATACCCACAACAACAAGAACAACAACAACAAGAATCAACAAGGAGGGGGCAGCGCTTCTCGTGGCAGTATTAAAATCTGAGAAATCCAACTTACGCTGATTCGACGGGGCCCGTCATTCTTGGGGTATTCTATCGGTACCAAGCTCACTGTTCTTCCTATATCCGACACGATGTCGAATCTTGTTGTGCAACGAGCAAGTTGGTCGGAGGTAACTGCCAACTGTCGGGTTAACCTCGAATGATCGACAGTACCTTCCCTACCAAGTTTGAGTATTTTTGCAGGAAAGAATGTACGGCTTATGCGTAAGAGAACACGAGACCAAAACTTGAGAATGCCGTATTAAGATATCAAGATCCTCGAGGAAAAGCACGACCACTTCCTGGAATTTCTCGAGGACGCAATGAACAAATAGATTGTCTCGCTGTTCTGGCCAAAACGTCAGAGGCCCGATTATGGATCAGCAATGACGTTTTAGCGAATGTGGAGAAGTTTATCACGTGGAAGGTTCGGCTTCGGAGAAACAATTGTACGAGCAAGAAGCTTATTTCAATGTGAATATTCATTTCAAGCATACTCGATCGAGTACCTAGTAACCCCTTATTGATTCATTCACAGGATCTCATCGAAGTGGAAACTTCTCACTACTCAGGAACTCAAACAAAGTCTTATAAAAACCTTGCACTTGCATTTGTATATACAAATAGGGCTTTTCCATTGTGCCAATCATAACCTCACTAATAAAGTCTACTTATGTATAATATATAACCACTAGACAACATTGCAAAGTTGGGCTGCAAGTATCATTCCAAGAAGGAGCTGAAGAGGCCATGGCCAAGTTAAAAATCAAATGATAGAACTAGGTCCCGGATTTTGAACATCTAATTGTCAAGACAAGACACTCTTGTTGAAAAACAGGAAATGTAAGAAACATTGCCAAGTTGGAGATTACTACCAGGTTAAACAACATGACCCCTATCATATTGAACCCTTGTTTCAATCAAATTACTATTGAAGCTCATCATTCATTTCCTCATATAATTTGGATTTACCCGCCATCTCACACATGAACAAATTCTGTCTATCCTAATGCTTTCTGTGCCAGTGCAAAGACATCTCCCCTTGCCATTCTTCAAACTGGACATAGAAAAGTCGCTATAACAATCTTTCCTGGACAAAGACTCTAATAACCTCCAACCATATACTCGAGTACAAACAATGATATCATCTACCGGAGGCAACCTTTGAATGGTACTGTGAGCACAAAACAAGACAAACCTTCGATAATGGCATAATGCTAGTTTGATTATCGATGGACCTTCCCCTGGAACTGATGGCTGTTGTATATTCCCCCTAAATTCAACACCTACATTGATGACTTGATGATACAAAGAGATCATAAGCCTAGTAATTAAAATACTACACGTTCTTCTACCCACATAGATGATAAACAAAGTGTCTGTCGGTTCATATTTGGGTATTTCCAAGCCCCTAATCTGATACAACATACATTTCAGGTAAGTTCTTTCTATGGTCTGGTCCACTGGATCTGTTGATCACAAGCACTACAAATAAGATACTCTGGTACTACTCAACATTCCTTCCTATTCCCAATCCCAACCGGAGTTAGTTCATCCTACTCTATCCTGAATATTAATATTTCTCATTATCTTTTACTCCTGATAGCTAATCAGTGAGCCTACGTTTATATTGCAAGATACACTAGGATGATAGAAGAAATCATGCATTAGATATCCTTTCAATAGCTTAGTTAAAGCACTCCATCCACTCAAGAATCTAGACGGGACACCTCTTCCACACATACTGTTTCAGCAAAATATATCAAGAGCACCTTAAGGAAAACTTGCCTGTACAACAAGTCTCAGCAGTCAAATTTCCGTAAGCTCAACAAACAAAAAGACTTCAGGGGATGATTATCATTGCAAGTACGAGTACACCGCCTCATGGAGAAAATGACCTGTAAATTTTGTGTTTATGTACTAGTAAGGTCGGAAGTGCTAATAGGATATTGTGTGATTTCAAGTCCACATATTTATCAGAATAGCTTGTCTCTTTAGCATCCCAAATGTAAGAGAAACTCTGATTTGCTTCAAATAATTGGGTGATCTTTTTAGCTCTGGAGAAATTGATGTAGGGTGTGGTGTAGATGGAACACAAATAGATGGGTAGACACTGTTGTCCTGAAAGGTTCTACCCGTGTGATGAAAAATTAGTTGTTATATTTCGATATATCACTCTCATTATGGAGTTGGGGATGGATGAATGGATGGATGGATGGGATATATCACTCTTGACGACTTCTCTACTTTTTATAATGTCAATTTTATCACAGTATGTGCTTGTAAGTTATAAACAGGCAAATGATAGGTGCTTTACATATATTTGAACTCTTTACAGTGTCATGAGTGATGTGACTGCTAGCAATACAGCAATAGGAGATTCCTCCGCACATCTTCACCACAAGCGAGGATAGTTCGCCAAAATTCTCCAATAGTGAATGACGTTTCCAGGCCCGAGTCTTCTTATGACTACAAGTACACGTATTCAATCAAACATTTTCTTCAGGCCCTGTAACAATTGTTACCGACAGCTGCTGTGAGTTAAGTGGAACTGAAACATCCTTTGACGATTGCGGTGGAGTTATCGGATTGTGTGTTTTAGTATCAGACGAAGCGTATCTTTTATCCGCCCGGGACTCTTTGACTAGTTGGTCAGTTGGATCCATTTCGTCGTCATGGGCATCGTGATTACCGTCTAGTGGACCTAAAGAGACGGGAATCAAGGGGTCGGTCAGTTGCTGCGCGGAAGGTGCAACGTCTGGCGAAGTCTGTGCGTTGTCTCCATTTGTGTATGCCCACAATGCGTCTTTTCTTTCAGTTGACCACTTGTAACCAATGTCTTGAGCATTCCTCATATGCTTGTATGCGCTCTGAAAGCTCCGAAGTGAAGCGCGAGGATAATCGTAGTCCAAGAGATATGAATGGTATTTGACAGTATCCTCAGCTCTAACAGCTGCAACTTCGTTGGGAGCTGCTCCATAGGCTGCCAGTTGTGACGGTCCAGGAGTCTGAAGTGCATGATGGGCGTAGTACTCGATAAGCCCGCCATTGAATGCGATCGTAATCGCCTGTGTTTTACCATAGAAATCGACATTGGACCCGTGCATATATGTATGTGCACCACGTGCTCCCTCTGTCACAACTGATCCACCAAAGACGCATTGCAATTTAGCTTCCTTCATGTCACCGTTAGAACTCTTGAATTGAACAGCATAAGCTGGCATCGCCTCATTATATGAGGAAGGAGCTAGATCTGCAGAAAGCGCCTCAGCTGCTTGCGAAGGATAGTCAGTCATACGATAAGACTCAACAAGATCCGGTTGTGGGTCACTGAGACCCATAGTCAGATGGTTGTCAACTGCCGACCAAGCATGATTAGGTCTTCGGAAGTAGCCAGAAATTTCCACCTCGCGCAATGTTCGTTTTGCAAGGAGTGGGTAAGCAGAGATCTCTACACCAAGTTCGTTCTCATAATCCTCAGTGACTACTAGATACCGTTGGTAGTCTAATAGTTCAGGTGGTTCGGAATCTCGTCGTTGATCCAACAATTCTCTGACGCCGTCGATGTCATCTGGAGCTCGTGCATCCAAAGAAGTATAAATGATATTGTTTTGTTGCAGCTTTATGCCGAAGTCCTTATCGGTGATTCTTCCCATCAGAGCTCCTTTGTCGCTCTCCACTTTTTTCGAGCGCTTCCAAGTTTTTTTCCGTTAGACGGGCACGTTTTAGAGGTCTTGCGGTACCGGTCTCGACAGATCTGTCGGATCTCAGTTTCCGAGCCTGAAACTGTGTCTTTGAAGGTACTGGGGCCGACATTTCGATACGACTCGAAGTATCTGTTGATCGTTGCTCGAGAGGGCTTTGGGACACTAGGACGGAAGGTGTTGATACAGAGCACTATTTTGATTGCAGGCGGGAGCTTCGTTTGCGCGGTTCTAGAGTCCTAGATTCAATATCACTACCTCCGCAGTCACCGACTAAAAAACTATCTTTCTATAACGTTCCTGAAATTGTGTGATTTAGATTTAAATGCAGACGCGGAGGAGCGCGACACTGGGTGAGGATTTAGGCGGATTGAACCTCGAGATAAGCTTTCGTCCTCGGCAAAGACGGTTATCATGTAGGGATCATGTAGGGGTTGTGAAGTGTCAAGCGATTCGCTATCAAATCACACCACCCCGTAACACACACCTCAGGCGATTCCAGCGCGAAAAAAATTGCGTCTCCGCCAGCGAGGCGAAGGACTGTACCTCAAAACGCACCTGCGTCTTTGAGAGGCAAGTTCTCTTCTAAGGTTCCCATGAAATCTTTAATATGCGGTCAAATATGGTGTAGTAGCAATGTAAGGATTAGATATCGCGGTCAAACCAATTCAACACATGAAGCTGGTCAATAAAAGCACGTGAAGCGGCTTCAATTGGATAAATAATTGACAAGTGGTAATCCCGATATTCCATTTAAATACAAATATCTCTTGCTAATTGAAATCAAGTTATCCAATGCCATCGACTAAGAAGACATTGAGCGCAATAAATCAATTATCCATGTTTAGTCACGTGATACACATGGGCTTCATTTTCCATCTTCCATCAACCATGTAGTTCGTGGAGAAGGCGGCAACAATGAGTCTATTGGAAAGTCTCGTTACACCTCAACTATACCATGGCTAGATGACTTATCGTACAGCACGTATGCTATCGATCATGGATATCACATCACGACATATGTCAGTCAAATTGTTTTTGGACATGAAAATTTGCTATTACTAGTCTGTGTAGCCATCACCCACAACTCTGCCATTCGAGGACCCCCTCAATACCCCCCGCTGTACACTCTCAAGTTACATTATATCACATTACATTTTAATTGTACTTACCTACCTACCTACCTCAATACAAAAAAGATCGACTCATAATTCTTGCGCCCGTTACACATCCGGAAAGTATCCTGCAATCAAATTGAAATATGATCCATCATTAAAAGGTTCCCTATCCCACAATCCTCGAAGTTCCAATCTGAAAGACCTCGTACATCAACTTCCAGCCCTTGAACTTGAGGCCCGTGATACCGGCAGCCAACTTCATTTGTGGAAACTTTTCTGCATTGAGAAGCATAAGGAGATTAAGGCTGACAAGCTTAAAATTGTCAATCTGAACGAAAAGCTTCTTGAAAAGCTGAGTTCGCGTCTTCTGGGCGTCCCAAGACTCGCGGTGAGGATATGGTGCGTGGATTTTGAGTTGGATATGCTTGACGTATGGTGCATAAGCAGCAAGAGTTTCGATCAAGGTGCTCATATCGGTAGGATGGTCTCGCATACCGGTGCATTGCTCGATGTGGATGCTGATAGACTCATTGTCGACGATGGTCAAGGCTGGATGAGATGGTAGAAGTCTCAAGTCGAACTCGAGGGCTGAGGCAGCCTCTCTATAACATTTGAGAGTCAGTAATTACTCACCAGAGAAGGGGGTCTGGAGTACAACGAGGAAGCAAAATTGTGTTAAGAAGTGAAGAGGAACACATGAAGAGACATGAAACAAGAAACAGGAGTTTGGTATCGGGGAATTTGATGTGAAAGAATTGAGTGTACTTACTTGCAGCAGATGGTCGAGCAAGTGCTCTATTACCTCGACAGTTCTTGTTACCCATGTTGAAAATTGATGATAATTTGAAGGTGTACTATTGAAGGACCAAGGTGTAGTATTGAAGGTACTTGATATGCTTGAATCGTTGTAGGAATATGCAAATGTTTTGTTTTGTTGGAAGTTTTATCCAGCTTGGTTCTTGAGTTGAAGTTGTATGAGTAGAAAGGAAGATGGAATTCAGCTGGATGAGTATCTAATTTCTGGTACGGCTGCTGAGAGTAAGAGCACTAGTGTCTGGTGGCGTTAAGTTAACTGTTTTTGGTCATTGCTCCATGCGTATACTACAGTATTGAAGCTAGTGTATTGAATGGCGTGTAGTGAATATGCTATGTCGGATATTGATTACATTTGCGGTGAATTTCATAGAGTTATATACGCGAATAATCAGTTGTATTAAGAGGCTCACGATCAGAATGATCGACAGGCTGTCACAGGTGTATGGTTTCCCGCAATTTCTTGTAGTTTGGGTCTCGTTGGCAGAGTAGCCAACCAGTCAGCTAGCTGATAGCGATGGCTATCAGCTATTGGTGTAAGTCAGTAAGCTAGAGTTTCGAAATACTATTAGCGAGTTAGTTAGGTAATAATTTAGTTGATATCTAGTTTATCAGTTAAAAGGATTCGAAATTTTGTTGATTTTCGAGTAGATTTGAGGTACTTTGAATATATTTTGATAAGATTGAATAAAAATATGAAAAGAAGAATAGTGAAAAGGAAAGAAGGAGGGGAAGAAAAATATTTTTCATTATTGAATAAGATTATGTGTTAGTTGAGCAGTAGTTGATTGGTAAAGTTAGCGAGTCAGTGGTGATGTTAATATATTGTTGACTTGTCAACTGGAAATTGTGAGTTAGTTGATAGCTGGCTGACTGACTGATTGGTCACTCTGCTTGTTGGGTTTGTAGTTCTCACTTATCTATTAGCCCGAGAGATGGTATATATTGTTGTGGCTCAAATGGTTGTAGTATACTGAATGTGTATTATTCTGTTTGAAGATCGAGGCTGCGAATTCAAAGTTTTGTTAATTTCAATTTCAAAGTTTTGTTTCAAATCTAAGTTTTAGTCTCAAATCTGAAGCTTCAACTTTGAATTCTAACTTTCAACCTTAAGAGTTTAAGCTTCAATTCCAAGAATCTCGAGACTTTTTGGTTTTCGATTTTAAACCTCAATTATAACAGTTAGTTCTAGTTAGTTGTAGTTAGTTGTAGTTATTAGTGAGGATGGTCAATCTGAAAATATATAGCCAACTGCACATCGACCACTGTGTTCACGATGTATGGCGATTTTCAAATCACATGCAAATCAAAGATAATAGATAAGAGTCATATGCGAGTGAAAATCAGTACTTGCTCGAGGTATTATTACAGAGAGACTAATCCTAATCTAGGAGGCATAGGCAATACAACCGACTGAATGCTGATAAAGAGAATCTCGTTATCGCCGAGGATCTTGATGGCAGAGTGGGTGGGTAATATAGTTAAGTCGGTGTCGGCTGCGAGTTCTTTCTGTTTGGCAATTTCTGCGAATATGGCAGTTGATGGACGGATTGAGGCTGCGCTACCCCGAGCGTTTTTGTTTCCCATTTTGATATTGAGAAGAAGTGGGTAGTGAGGGTTTGGAATGTTGGTAGAAGAAGAGTTGTGATGAATGATTGAATGTATGTTTTTGGTGTTGAATGTGACGAAGTCAAGTTGTAGTTGACCAGAAGATGTTGTAGAGGAAGAAATTATGTGTTGAGGAAGAGTTCAGAATCTCTTAACTATTCAACCTCCTTCGTACGGCTAACCACTAGCGCCTAGGTATCAGTGGCTGTACTGTAGAACCTCTAGCGAAGCCAGAATGTATTGAATTATGAGTCTGAAGATAAGAGGTACGATTAGACAGACGATCATGTATCGAAGCAGATTCGATTCGCCTCCAGCCATATTCGTCCCGGTTGACAGCCTATGAGTATGCGACCAGTGGTTGATGCCATAGTCCTTTTCTCTATCGGCTTCAGTGGTATCAACGGTAGAAATTTATTGTTCGTATCATCTTCAATATGTCTGTTAGAGAAATATATCCGTAATGACATTCATTTCGATCCCCTCTGATGAGCTGTTGAGCTATGTCGCGTTATGGTGCCTTTTTGACGTTACAGATCATTCCGTTTCCTAAGCGAAATTCAACTATACGAACATAACTTTATATACAGTACAAGTACTATGGGCATTTCGTGCATTTGCAAGTAATGATTATCACCAAGGTCTCATATTACTGGTAAAGCAAGAATTGTGATCATATGCAGAAAGATTTTGTATATGTTTTGGTGAATTACTATATAAATCACTGTATGTATGGCCGGCAAGATTCCCTAATAATCTTGGAAAGCATGACGTATGCAAACCCCCGAAAGCTAACGCTACAGCAGTGTGACTTTATGGTAGATTCTCCTCGTTACGATATCCTCCAGAAATACATCGCCAATGAGAGAGAAAACCGTCGTGTAAATCACCCCCAGAAACCCGTGCAACCTTCCCGAAAAAGCAATGTCCAAAAATGTTCCCTGACATTCCTCCCCGAACCACAATACCCAGTCCCAAACACCATCCGAGCCATTCCCACCAATCGAATGTCTAGGCAGAAGCCAAGAACTCCTTCTTGTAGACTCCCCGAAGTCTGAGATCATACTCATCACCTCGGTAATGGTAAATACCTGGAATAGCATCATTTTGAACTTTGATACCTGAAATAGCCTAAGTGCTAAATAAGATATAAAATATGCTATTTCAGGTTAAATCTTTTGTATTATTCTGATTACAAAATAAAGTATATTAATCTGGTTTCAGGAATAGAAATGATACTATTCTGATTACAAATTTATATATTAATCTAATTACAAAAAGAATCTATATTATTCTGATCACAAAATTTATACGTTAATTTAATTATTAAAAAAATAGGTGTTATTCTGATTACAAAATTTATATATTAATCTAATTATAACAAAAGAATATTATTTATATCAAAAAAATATAGAAAGAGA